CTGTCCCTGTCCTGCCCAACGGGAACTTTATCCTCTCAGCCAGACTTTGAGGGTGGTGGAGAGGAAGGGCGTGCCTGGTGGACCTGCTGGTTACAAGCACATGGACTCCATGTGACAGGAGCCTGTGTGCAGATTGAATTACCATCTACTCAGCTGACACAAAGCCATTCCCAGCCGCTGGGTGGCCCATGAATAAGTAATCAGTCTCCAGCCCCAGCCGAGGGAGCACACGGCTGAGGAGGAGAGGCTGGGACCGGGGAGGCCAGAGCAAGGGCCGGAGCCACGGGAGCCCCAGGCGCCTCACGTGAGTGCTGTCTTCGAAGGGGATTCTGGACGGGCTTCCGAGCTCTGCCTGGTCCCTTTGCTGCGCTGAGCGCTGTGGCTTCCGAGCTCTGCCTGGTCCCTTTGCCTGCGCTGAGCGCTGTGGCTTCCGAGCTCTGCCTGGTCCCTTTGCCTGCGCTGAGCGCTGTCTTCTGAACGGAGCGGGCGGAGGGCTGCAGACGGGGGCACTTGCCATCTCCTGTCCCTCGCACCCTGGCCGCTGCCCCGCGGCTTGATTCCAGACCCCTCCCCGGTCCAGAGTTGGGTAGGAAGACACCTCGGGCCAGGGGGGCTGGGAGAGCAGGGCCGCCCTGGGCTAGGCCCACTGTGGGCTGTGCTCCGGGAGTGTCCAGTCTGCACTGGTCCATGGAAGCCAGGTTCTGTGAGAAGCTGACCCTGGCCTCGCTTGTCTGAGCATCTCGGCGTTAAAAGCAGCACTGACTCAAAAGTTGGGGTGCTCTCAGGAGCAAACCCTTTTCCTGTTCTCGTTCCCTTTTGGGGCAGTATTTTTTCTTTTTCAATCTTGAATCCAGCTGAGGAGAGCAGTCTCACCGTGGGGCCTCCAGAGGGTGAGCAGAAGGGGGGCTGTGGCATTGTTGCTGTGTGGAAGCGGAAGTGTGTGGAAGTTGCTGTATGGCTGACCCCCATGCGCTTCTGTGTTGTGAGACCCTGCGGCTGGGCTACCGTGCGGCTGGGCTACCGTGCGGCTGGGCGACCGTGCGGCTGGGCGACCGTGCGGCTGGGCTACCCTGCGGCTGGGCTACCCTGCGGCTGGGCTACCGTGTGGCTGGGCTACCGTGCGGCTGGGC